CGACATATCGAACGCATAAATCCGCGACTCTTTGCATTTCGCGTGTCCGCCACGGTTTCGGGAACTTGCGAAATTGATATACGGAATGCGGAAGGTGGGGTAGGAAATATGGAGAAAAGTTTGATACGAATATGTACGACTAACGTTACCATTCCGCGGAAAGGCAAGTTTTATCACGACCACGCGAAATACAAAATTCTGCATATCCATTTTGTTAAAGACACGCCGATATTTTATGTGGAACGTACGCCGTCGAGGAAATTGCGAAATTTCGAGGAACATTCCAGTCAAATTTTTTGGTGAATGATTTCGAAACTATTCTGGGTAGAACAGTTGCAATTGACAATAAGTAGTATGACTTTTTAATAAGGAAAGATACGAAATGTACGAGTGTATGGAGTTAAAAATAAGTGGTGCAGCCACACGATAAATCGGACGTATGAAGTGGTGCAAATTTTACAAAATGTAACAGTCAAATGGAACTTTATTTCGATGAATGATATCAAACACTATTTCTAGCAGAACCGACTTGCAATTGACAGTAAATAGTATGACTTCTTAATCAGACAGGAAAGGTACGAAATATACGAGTGTATGGAGTTAAAAATAAGTGGTTCAGCCACACGATAAATCGGACATACGGTGTCATGGAAATTTTACAAAATGTCACAGTCAAAATCAACCCTATTTCGATGAATGATATCAAACACTATTTCTAACAGAACCGAGCTGCAATTGATAATAAGTAGTATAAGTTCGTAATCAGACAGAAAAGATTCAGTACGAAATGTCCAAGCGTATGGAATTAAAAATAAGTAGTTCAGCCTCATAATAAATCGGACGAAGTCGTAGAAATTTTACAAAACGTCAAATTCAACCTCATTTCGGTGAATGATGTGAAAACTGTGACGAGCAGAACAGTTGCAATTGGCAATAAGTTCGTAATCAGACAGTTACGAGTTAAAAATAAGTAGTTCAGCTACATGGTAAATCGGACGTCTACACTCTCGTGTAGAGTTTCGAATGTGAATTATTTCCAATTACAAAGCGTAACAATTTCAACGTTGGATTCTGAATTATTTACGAAAGAATTGAAAAGCAATACTGTTCTGGGTACCGCAAGTTGCAGCAGCCTTTTTAACACACGCGTCGCTGTAACGATCGTAAAGCGACGATAACTTGTTCTGACTAGCCTTTTTACGGAGAACCTGTTGCTCAATTTATCCCAAAGTGGAATGAAAACGTAAATTCGAAGCGACTATCGTCCACTCGACGAAAAAGAAGGGATAGATCACGACGTATCGAATAAACGCGACATAAAAGATGAGAGAGAAAGCAACGAGTTCGAGATGAAAATTTGTACCTTCGACACAGTCGTCGAATCCTTGGTAATTTTACCGGAGGAAATCCGTAAATCGTTATCGAATATCGTAATAGGTTTTTAATATCAGCGATTGGAACGTTTGTGAACGTTTTGTCGAAATTAATCGAAGCTGCATTTTGTTAGAGTTCCATTTTGATCCAAATTGCCTAATAATTCTGGCCATCCATTGATTATCAATTAATTTAAGTTTAAATGCTTGCCGGATAATTAATGCTACGTCGCCCGATATTTGTGGAAAATTGAATTAGAACCATGGCGGACGTTATGAGAATATTAAACGATTTATTCGCTCGTTGCTCTTGTAATGAAACTTTAGTTGGAACAGTTCAATTATGAAAAAATTCAATTTATTTATAGGACACAGCGATCGTGTCGCAATCATTCGACGTTATTAAGCTTCACGCTCGCTGCGCGTAAATTATATTTCGCTCGGCATTTACGTTAACATTGTACGTTAAACTGTAAAAATTCCACTGCGTCCCGGGCAAAATTCGCTCTCTGTTTAATAAGATAATACGAGAGCGCACTTCCGCTCAACACTTCCGCCGTCAGGCTCGAAACTTCCTCAAACTTTTCCACTTTCCTTTCGAACAACGCTTTAACGCGTACGTTAAACATCGCTCGTATTAATTTACTTAATCTCGAAGCACCTGATTCGTACAATATCCTTTTCATCGACGAATTACAAAGAGAAAAATTAACAAAACTCTCGCAGTTGGTTTGGAACACAGTATTATTTCGGAACGTAAGATTCAAATCCTGCGTTTCGGTCCTACAGGTCACCTGTATCGCGGTAAAAGTTGAAACTCGTTCCGAGTTTTCCGTGGCTTCCGATACGTAATATCGTGGCTTCCCCGAACAGCCAACAGTTCGTATTAACGTTTATGCAGTACGGTTATTGTCAAGTAACTTCTGAGCAGGTTAGCGAGCATAGCGGCAGTGAATCGTTTACGCGCGTTATGGAGCATCGTTATTATCCGCTTCCTTATTTCTCGCGGTTCACGTTATTACATCGTGGAACGATATTATTAAGCTTTTCTTTTTCCTTGAGCGCGGACAATTGTCGTGAAATCCTATCTCTAATATAATTTTATCGAAATGAACCAATGGTATCGCACTGCGGTACTCTCATTGAAAAACATCGTCATAAAAGTAAATGAACGTAATTTCCGGGGTTGAAGCATTTTAATGGATTTTTGTCAAAGGACTGTTTGTGACCAATGTTTAATGTATGATTTTCCGAAATTATTTTAACGAGACTTGTTCGGAAAGCAAGACACTCGAGCGAACTAGTTAACTGGTTTTGACTAAAATTGTTGGTTAATGAGTTTCGGCGCGGGTTGTCCACTCTATGAACGCGAGAGTTGCTGAAAATTCGGTCGATTGAATGCGCTACTTAAATCGCGATACCGGTGTCTGCGTTTCTTTATGCAAATCGTTTGCGTGGAACGTTTATTTTATTGCTAAAGAATTAACTCTTTTACCGTGGATTTTTCTCGACCCCGGGGAAAAAAGGGAAATACGGAATTAACGGTACTGCGCAGATTTTAAATAGATTTTCCATCGAATTGGAACTTCTTACGATGCAGCACGGACCATTATGGAAATTCATTAAATCCCGGTCATTCGAATTCACGGCTTCTCTTCGATGTAAATTTTCAACGTACCAATTTCATGATTACTTTCGCATAATGCGCATTTATATGTATTGCAAATTTGCAAGGTCGCTCAATTTTCGCGCGGGCGAATGGTCGATAAGAGTTTGCGAATTATCCGATTTAATAAAGAAGATTATCCTCGTATCTTGCTCCTTTTCTTTTCCTTAATTAAGTCGTTCGATACGCCGTTCTATCTGCATGGAAATTAAAAAGAGCGCCGGTTAGGAACGTTCTTTCGAAAAAATTACGTACACGAAAATATAGGATGTAATGCATGTGTCATACCGTGTAAAATGATTATTGGTACAACGATACGGTAATTAACGCAACAGAGTAATTTAATTAACACGCCCGGTAGCGCATGATAATACTACTAATTTCCTTGCATTAGCTTTTGCTTATGACATCGCAGGTTGTTAACGGCGGAAAATATAACGACACGACTCGTTAAAGGGAACGCGGTTCAAAAAGAACAGGAATTTTTCGATCTTATTACACTTCTGATTTCCTTCCCGATACGTGATCCAGGTCAAACAGAAACTTTGAGGAATGGAAATCCACGGAGCGCAGAAATGGAGTCTGAAAATATTTCCAGTTTTGCGAGACAGCCTTCATTTTTCAGTATACAGAGAGTTTCACGGAAGGTGAAACGCCGAGGGTTAGATTGCGTTCGATAATCAAACGTTATATTACCTCGCGTTCCTACGCCACAAATTCCATCTACACGCGTTGCATTTCAGCGTATTCCATCTACATACGCATTCCGTTTCTACGCGATCCATGCACACGCGTTCCATTTCAAGACATTCCATCCCTACGTGTTAAATCTGTACGATCGTCACAGTCGCATCGCATAAAGGACCGTACTCGAACTAATTAGCAATGCCAGTGTCTACGCGAATAGTTTGATCGTAGATATTTTTCCTCTTTGTCGGGTTGATTATATTCCATGCTGAAAGGGTCGAACGATGATCAAAAGTCATTCATCGAATTATGTGCCCCGGGATAATTAATCTCTCGGTGAAAATCACAGGCACATAGAGAACGATGACTAAGGGGGACGTCAAAAAGTGTCGATTCGCCAATGATCACGATATTACCAGGTTTCATCGATCTTAGCCCTGGTTCACGGGGAGATAAAGCCGAGCCTCGGGCGAACCGTTCGACAGCCGGTAACCACTTCATCAGGCTGGATTAATACTGTACGCGTTGCTTTCAATGTCTCATTAGTTACATTATCAGGGTGACATTCACGGGCATAAACGCGCACACCTGCTTTCTCCTCGATGAATGATCGAAAACAGGCTGGCACGAGCAAACTGTGAAAGGAGAGCCAGTCTCGATCGATAGCTCTGTCGCTGGCTTAGACGATAATTAGGTGAAAACATCGGCTTCCATCCCTCTCTGTCTACGATCGGATTATCGATCCTATCGGGGACACGTTTGCACGTGAACCGTGTCCGATGCTCGCTGGGACGGATAAAAGACCCATTATCAAGTATGGTCCTGTATCATTCGTCATATTACCGTTGCTGGAAACAAACAGTTCCGACGGCGATTGCTGATATACTTCCTTCCGTGCAATTTCACCCCTTGCACTTCGTGACCTTTTACTCGAATACTCAGACTTCTATTTGCATAGTCGGTGGATTAACATTCTTTGTCTGCTTTAACGCTAGAACTAAATGGTCTCACATTTTTCATTTTATATTACAAAATTTTATTTTTATTTTATGGAAATGTCTGGTATATTTTGTTGAGGTAAAAAGTAGTTCTATATGGTACTTGATGCTTTAGTATTTATTTATTTTTCATTCTTCGATAAACGAGTATTTAATTTCGGTTAACACTGGGTTAATAATGTAACTGTGATTAGTTCTGACGCACTTGAAAGGGTAGTAAATAGTCTTTCGCTTGCATCACAGGGTTGGATGTCATTTGACTGCTTTCTGTTACAGAGTCTTCAAGATGAGACTGACAAGGGATACCAGCTTGTTCCACGAGGACGTAGTCTTCGAGGGATCGAATGGCCGAGAGATCGCGTTCGACCCACTACACGCTTACAGCGGAATCGTAGACGGTGAGTGATCATAGAATTTTTTAAACGACCCGAGGTTCGCGAACAGCACAATTCATTAAAATAAAACGCATGATGGAACGAGACCGTGAAATGGCCATATTTTCCCATTTTCTAACAGCGTCCTTCGTTATCCACAACGTTGTCCTTCGTTATTTTCATAATTCCGATCGAATTTGCAATTATGAAGAATTCGACGAATTTCTAACGCGACAATTGCGAAGCGTGAAGCGAGAGAAGAAACAGAGAAACGCGCTAAAAACTGGTTCAAGCCTCCGTATCTAATACGTCCAACAAGAAATTCACGCGCGGCTTCTAATGAAAGCGTTTCGCGCGTATTCCCGGATTTCCGGCGTCGCGACGGATGGAAAAAAGAAGGCGAAATTCCGGTTGGTCGCCGGTGAAAGGGCCACACCGTGATCTTCTTTTCTCCACAGAATTCTAACGGGTGATATTAAAATGCAGGGAATTCGATTTCTCGTTCTCGACCTTTTTCATCCGTCTTAACGAGATTTCGTATTCCGAATCGAATTAACTGTTTCATCATCAGCTCGATAACCATTTCATCGGACTTTTTCGCTGCTATTAATATTTCATTGATGTCGACTTAAACCGTATGATCGAGTATGACGTATCTCGCTACTTCTAAATTTTTTTATCAATTAAAAAATTCTGCACGCATACATCTTCCTGTCACTCTCGGCTATAGAATTTTACGGAATACGATTTTCATTCCAGACTTTTTCTAGAAGGTTTAGGATTTTAAATTATGCAGTTTATGCACCTTTCTGTCACATTATCCGCAGGTCTGAAATTTGAGAGAATACGAAGATTATTTTTATTCTAGAATTTTAGAAAATATAAAAGTGTCTGTAACATTGATTTGGTAGCAATTAAAAAATTATGCACTTTGAGCACTTTTTTGATGCACCATCTTCAAGTCTAAAATTTGACAGAATACTGACATTTATTTATAGATAGAATATTTAAATTTTTATTCTAGAATTTTAGAAAATATAAAAATGTCGGCAACATCGATACGGTATCAATTAAAAAATTATTCACTTTGAACACTTTTCTGTCACACCATCTCCGAGTCTAAAATTCGACAGAATACCTAAATTTATTTATAGACAGAATATTTAAATTTTTATACCAGAATTTTAGAAAATATAAAAATGTCGGCAACATCGATACGGTATCAATTAAATAATTATGGACCTTGAGCACTTTTTTGTCACACCATCTCCGAGTCTAAAATTCGACAGAATACTGAAATTTATTTATAGAGAGAATATTTAAACTTTTATTCTAGAAAATATAAAAATGTCGGTAAGTCGGTTTCGATCGGCTAGCATTGTGGAAAGTTACAAAAATTGTCCGTGTTCCACGAAGTTTGAAACTCGGCGTTGAAATTTGAGTTTCTACTTTTCTGTTCGCGCGTTCAATGTTTCAAAGATCCGTGACTCGGTTTCGAGCGTAAAAGTCGTCTGAAATTTTGTCGGCAACCGTGAAACGTGATTTTTATTTTTCATCCCGGTGAAAATCTCCGCCCTAGCGCATCCGGCAATATATTTTTTTAATACAACGCAGCGTCACTTGCCACGAGCAGATGGCACATTCGTGTTGGGATTCAAGTCACGCGGACGTTTCTCGCGCGTTTTATTCGATTACATCAATTTTAAAACGCTCCCCTCGCTCGTCGCGCGCTCCGCGCGTAACGAAATTTCAATAACGTGTAACGTAATTACATGCGCATGTATTTGAATATCGGCATCGTCCGATGCACAATTAATTCCCCGCCGCTATATATCGTTCGGAGACTCCGAGGACCTCGAAAGTCAATAAATTCTTTGATAAATTCCTGTCGAGATCCAGGTCAACGAATTTCATCGACCGTCCCGCTTTTCTCTTCTAATTTCCCATTTCGCACCCCTTTGACAATTTTTTTCCCCCTCTCTTTGTTTATTTCATCCCTTTTCGTTTCGTGTATCTTCCCGCCTGCTTCTTCCCTTCGTCGCGTTGTTCCCTCTTTCTTTTTGTGTTCGTTATCCTCCCACTCCGCTCGCCATCGTGGTAACGATACAGCCAGCCAAGTGGGTTATTGGATGGTTTCCAATATGCTGGCTCGTTCAACCACTGCGGTATTTTATGCGCTCTCGTATCATTTCCACGCTTTTTACGAGGTGACATTGGTCGAGATCGGACAAAGGAACGGGTCATTTTTAAGAAATTTCCCGATACTCCTCGGTGTACAACTTGATCGAAACGTCTGATGGTTACACACCGTAATATTCGATAAAACGTATCCTAGAAAATTGCATCCTTTATTCCGCACAGAGCGGATTGGTTAAAAACCCGGAGCAGACGATTGCTCGGTCCTATTCTGTGTACTTATATTTCCAATCAGCTTGAGTACACTGATCATTTATACACTCTGCCGAAGGAACTCTCAATAATTGTAGACCTTTTAAATCACAGTCCGCGTTTCGTTTGCCCGGTCTTAAAACTCGCGATTAATCATCGCGATAATCCTGAGCGAAGGAATTCTATCGACGTTCGAAAAAATTGAAGAGCGGAACGATGATCAGTGAACAAAGAGGAATTATTCAGCTACGAGCCCCGCGAAGGCTGGCAAACATGTGTGCGAAAGTTAAATATCAAACAACGTCGCTAATATGGGCGCTCAAAATTCAATGCACCGTTGCGAACCTAAGCAAACGAAACAGCGTGCGTTAACAGGCTTTCGCCCGTAGTAAAAGCGGTGTGCACACGCGACGAAGGAAAGCAAGCAAATCGAGTTGAAAATCTCCGGGAACTTTGAAGTCCCTTCGCCGTTTCGCGTCTGAAAACTCTGCCGCCTGTGTTACGCGCTCGCTTTGCGCGCTCTGCACGGCCTCGCGCGTACGTTTACGGTTTGTTTGCGCTAATACGCGCGGTCGTGAGCTATCGTTATAATCTACTGCCTGGCAAAAGTATCGGGGAAACTGCGCTGTTTTATGTTCCTTGAGAAACATGAAATTTCTGGCAAACGGAAAACTTTGAAAATTGCACGACGCGTAGATTAAAATTTTACGAGGGAAAAAAATCTGCAACGAAGGGTTCCGCTGTAAAACCGGAGAAGTTCGGTCAAAGTTCCCTGTTAAAGCGACGATACCTGAGTTATTCGGGAATTTCATAGGAGATAACGAAAGTTTGCTAGCGTAAGGGAATATAAATATTCATGATTCATCGAAATAAACGTGTCACCGCAAGGTGCAACCCCCGATTAAAAGTACATCGCCTGAATAATACAAAAATTGATTAGACACTGTCGTAAACTTTGTTTGGTAATGCCAAAATGTTTTTCCAATTTATGAAAAGCTCTCGTGTTACTCGAATGTAAAATTCGATGAATATTCGATAGGAAACATAAAAGCGATAGAAAATTAAACGATTATATGCTAGACATAGCAATTGTTCGTCGAAATGATTTGGTATCGGATAATTTATTATTGAAACTAAATCACTGTTGATTTCGCAGTTTAATAGATGTGTACTTTTGGTCCGTGGAAATTCAACATCCGCTTATTTCCAGAACAGAAAACCAACCATCCGGAATAATTATATTCATCGGTTATGTGTTGTTAATCAAACTTGTTGCTCCCATACCCGAATCAATAAAATTACAAGAAGATCATTAATGTTATTTTAGTTTAATATATTTAATTATAATTGATCAGCGAAAATGCTGTTCATGAAACAATTCTCGGAATCTTGTAAACCTATAATTTAATCGTTTAAATTGAAAATTATTTTTCACGTTCAGCTGCGAGAAGTCAAAGTTAAAAAACGAATCCCTAAATCGCCGGAGCTCATTTCCGAAAGTAGCACGACTGGACCAGAGGTCGTAAAGATCGTAGAGCACGGTGGAAATCTTAAAACAAGATTTCAATTTACGAAATCCAGAGCGGAGCGAATCCCCGAATGGTGCCAGCCAGTGATCAAGCTTCGAATAAAAGGTGACAACGATCGTTTCAGCTGAAATTAGCATCGAAACGACTGATTTCTCCGGATTGCGAGATTCAAGAATTTCGAGGCGGAATAGCAGCCATACGCAATAACGTTCGAGCGAGCGGTGCGCTAAACAGCTACTTTGCAAGCTTCTTCGCACCGCTACGGAGTCGAATTTTAATCATCTAAGAGACGCCGGAGGACACGGGAAAAGAAACGTCAACCAGGACGAGAAGAAAAGAAAGAGAACGTCACTTACGAGGAATTGCAATTTTCTCTAAAGACTCCGGAAGACGAGATAACGTTCTCACCCTCCTTCTCCCTGTCCGAATTCTAAGCCGTTGCGCATATCTCTGTCGGGGCCGTTGAAAACGATTTCCATCCGTGAACGGCTTTCATCGACCGCGAGTTTCGCGCGTCTTCAAACTTCTTCCCTCTTTGATCTTCCCCCTGGACCCGGTCGCTCGTGATTCCTCTCGGAAAAAACCGTCGTCAAGATGACAGGATTCGTCCGTTTGAGGAAAGGCGCTGCGGTGATAATTGACGCTCCGAAGGGGTGACTTCCGTTCTCGTGCTGACCCGCCAGGAGGGGTATCGTTTTACCCAGACGTCTCTCCTTAGAAACAAGTCTTAATTACGTTGTCGACTTGTTCGGGAACCTGGGTTTTCTGTCAGTGCGACCTCGAGAATTGTCTACTGAAACTCGTACTTTTTAACTGTTCCGCTTTCTGAAGATTTAATGTCTGTTAAACATGCTGATTTATTTATATTGAAAATAGATTTACGTTTCAAGGATTGCCGACGACTAGTCACAGGTCTTCTACTAATAAAATGTGCAATAAACTGCAGAATTAACGGGAAAGTTCGTGAAGTGTCTTGCAAGTGTCTGAGTACGTACCTCAAGGGTTGTAACATCCGAGGTATCGAATCGAAAATAAAAACAGGGGAAAGTGAGCATCGTGAAAGATGTGGAGCAGGCAAGCATAGAAGCCAGGAGAGCGTCTGGACGG